TTCCTGTCAGATAGTGTCAAGTCATGGTAGTGAAACCATAAACACGAGGCCCAAGAGTCTTAGCACTGGTCCCTACCTGTGGCAGTGCTCTCTACTTGCAGCAAGCAGGTCTGCTCCCAGCTTTTTGCTCTTAAGAGCTGGATGGGTTTCCCTCAGACCAGGTTTCTATAACCCCTCCAGGTAACCATGATTCATTAGAGCTGCCTCTTGTTTCAAACTTCCCCAGAGTGTTGGAGCAATGTGGTAGGAGTTTAGTATTTAACCATGCTTTGGTGATGGCACTGAATCCCCCAATCAACCTTTGCTGTGTCCAGTTTAAAAAGCCTGAGACCTGCAGTCCTGCATGCCCTAAACACCTCTCAAGTTTGGCAGGCTGAATAAATCCTTGCCCTGCAGCACACTCATTATTATCAAGAGAAGGAGGTGGAATAAGTAGGATAAGGCAAAGCCCCAGGAACACAAACCATATGGAAATTAGGCTACCAGATACCATAATAAGGAGGTAATGGAGGGGGAAAAAGAAAGAAAATGAGTCCTTTTGCTTCAGTAGCAGAAGCCAGTGTTAGTTGAGGTGGTATTCCACCTTTTGCAGAGCTGCAGGCACAGCACATCCCATGCCAAGGCACTGACCACATCCTTACATTGATGGCCAGTCAGTCCCTGGCTCTGTGGCCAGCCGAGAGGTGACCATGGTTCATCTGAGGCAGAAGGGTAGGGAGCTGCTGGGCTCTTCGGTGCCAGCCTGCTCCTCCCCAGGGGTCAAGGGAGCTCCACTGCCACTCACTGCCTGTCCATGGATGCTTGGCAAGCGAGTCTGGATGCTTCCACCATCTGTGTGAAATCCTTCCAATCATTTACATCAAACATTGACTTCAGTAGAATGCAGGGCTCCTGACTGACCTGATGTAGTCCATATGGAGTAGTTGTCACAGACAGTGACTGTCTTGACGCTGATTAATCACTTCTTCCAGTTGTATATTTGTCCCTGGTTACTTGACACAGTTCTTCCCTAATAGCTTTTGCATAGTTCTGGGGTATTCATATGACCTTGGCTTTGGGGAATAGCCCATCTGATGACACACATTACCTACTTCAATGTAGGCTTGGCTGCTTTTCATCAAACTAACTTGAATGCTAGCTTTTGGGGTTTTTCTTTCCCCTGTGTACACCAGTATCTGTCCTTTTCTGAGGTGTGAAACACCGTAGCTATGCTGGGTTCTGTTTGGTTTAGGTGGCACCATTGCCAATGGGCTGGGGCTTGGTCTCTGCTACATAGCATGTAGATACTCTCTGTGATTCCACCTCTGTGTCCTTCCCTGTCACTTCCAGTCACAGGCATGACAAGTAATCTGCATTACTGATGCTCCTTGCTTTGAAACTAGCAGTTAAATGATCTGTAACTAGAGTCAATCACTGCTCAGGCAGACAGCAGTGAAGCTGTCTAAACACCCCAAACTAAACGCAGAGCTCCTCTCAGTCTGAACATGGTTCTCTTCTTCAGAGGTACAAGATCTGGAAGCAAAGCCAATAGGTCTTCCAGGTTGATCTTCCATCAAGTGTGAGATTATTGTACCCAATTCCTACAGGGAAGCATCACAAGTGAGAGTTACAGGCACCAAGGCACTGTGCTAAGGACATGTCCTGAGGAGTGCACCAGCCCTGGTGCACGGTGTGTGTGCTTCAGTGCTGTCTCTATCCAGGTCAGCCCGTGGTTGCTGTGTGAAGTGGTGACTCACCAGTTCCAGGAAGCAGCAATGTATTTGTGGAATTTGCAGCTAAAGGATCTCAAAGCTACCTTTTTCCCCCCATTTTTTCCTTCTGATTGGTATAAATTGGTTTTCCCAGCAGAATGGCTGGGAAAATTCAACATACTATTTAAGCTTTGAGACATTACCTTTTGCTTTTCCTTTCAAACTTGGGCAGGTGACTGATTTACTGGCTGTAAGGACTGGTAATTGTCACATGAACCTCAAGGACTCAGTCTAACACACCCTGAGCCTAGACCCAGCTGCAACGTGACCTGATTTAAGTCACTGTTAACTTACATGACTGCTAACCTGAGTTGTGTTTGCTGATGGTGTGCTCCTTAGGAAAGCACATATGGCCAGGGCTGCAACCCATCTGAGAGCAGTACTGGGTCAGCTGGGGTAGCCTGACTGCACACCTGAGCTTCTCAAGTACTTCTGGAAGATCTTGTGGTACTCCCCATTTATTGTGTTGTGTAAGTGTAAATATATCCTCTCTTCTGGGTAATAGCTGTTCATCTACATGTGATACTGGCTTAGCTGTGAAGTCACCATAGATACAAGAGCCCCATCTGTTCTCATGGCTATCATCAGTTGTCTTGGCCAAGAGTTTAGATAACTTTTCTTTTTGACTGGAGTTCACAAGTTATTTTCTATTAATATAAGCAAGTACAAGTTGTTTTTGTCAGTCCCTCTACATTGTGGTCATCTTACACTATGTAATATCCTGCTTGAGATCATAAAGGTTGAGTGTACACTGTCTACTGTTGTGTTACTTACAATCATGTTCAGAGCACAAAGATGACTTGGACATGTGTTTTTTAAGAAACACAGATTTTCTCTAACACCTCCTTTCTACGAGATCTTTGATGATCCCACCATCAAATTCCCAGCACAGTGAATCATGTTTCATTTAGGATGTTATTCTTGTCACTTTAAAGGATTCCAAAGAATACTTTTGCTTTTTGGGAACCAAAAGAGGCAATTACATAGACATTATGGCTTTCTGCAGGCATTGCACATTGTTGTATGCAAGTTGAAGAATATGAAGTTAACCAGCATTGAGTTTCTAAGCTGGGTTTGATTTGCTAGCTTGCATGTTTTCTGCTTGTGCCCCATCCCTTGCAGTTTCTATATGTTTTGTCCTTGAAAAAGTGATGATGTGTATTGTGAAACTGTTCCTTGTGATGGAAGCAGCACATTCTTTCAATGTCCTTCAAGCTGCACTTTCCTCTTGACCCCTGTTGGACAGATTTTGTGATGCTCCCAAACTCTTCAGCATCTTCAGTGAGTTTCCATTGAAATGGTAATTTCTAGAGAATACTTCGGGCTCATCTCAGCTTTAGATACAAATTAAATGTGGATTGCTTCGTTCTGCATATTGAATACTAAAAGATGCACTCATTTGTCCTCTCTGCAGACACATGATGCTCTGCCAATTTCCTTAATCCAGGCACAGAAGCAGTCAGCAATTGTTTCCATTCACTCCTGATTCCATCTGAAAAGGCAATACCTGCAATCACCAGCGGCTTTTCAGAACAGGGAGTTTGGAGAACTTCCCCAGTTGCAACAAACTTTTGCTCTGCTGGCTGTATGGGCACTATCTGCTGACGTCAGGGTGTCAGGTTTAGCTCTCAGTGTGCTGCCATGTGCTTTTCAGTGCAGAGATCATCTGATACTTTAGGATTTCCCCATCTCCCAGTGGCCTTCTATTGACCTGTCAAAGAAATCCAGTCTGTCCTCCTTTTCCCTACCATAGTTTAACCTTTTCTTTATCAGTGCATTGCTCACTGGGCTGATATTGCAGCATATCACAGAATCCCAGACTGGTTTGGGTTGGAAGGGACCTTAAAGCTCATCCAGCTCCAAGCCCCTGCCACGGGCAGGGACACCTTCCACTAGAGCAGGTTGCTCCAAGCCCCTGTGTCCAGCCTGGCCTTGAACACTGCCAGAGATGGGGCAGCCACACTTTCACTTAACTGCCATCACTGCAAGTGCAAAAATAAAGATAACACTTTGATTTACATTGCATAACCCCTTCATTGAAATTATGCCTAATATTAATATCATAGCTATTATTAATTGATTAATATCTTATAGCTAATATTAATTTTCACACACTTCCATGAGTAGCCACTCCCTATTCCATCTACTTCCAGGCTAACAGTCCACCCTCATCCTGCATTTTTGCAACTTCTCTGTCTCTGTGGTGTTAATAATACCCAGCAACCCTATGGCTGGATCCCCAGTAATGCTCCTCAGTTATCTGCAAAAAGCCAGGAGCAGATACATGAATGCACCACCATTTATCAGCATAAATGAAGGCAGGAGCTTTATTAGAAGGATTTAAATTAATATTGCCAAGTGTGAGGTTTTACAATGCCTCTTTCAGAAACAATAGCTGGGTCTACTCTGTAAGTGAAGGATGGTATTGAGATGTACTCTTTTTATAGCAAGGCATCATATGGATTTAGGTATGACCAGGGCAGGCAGCAGCTCTGAGCCCAGCGGGGATTTGTGCCTCTCCTGCCCCCAGCAACCCACCACCCATGGAAAAGTTGAGGAGGGCTGTAAGGTCCTGAGCTCTGACCACTCTGTGAACCTCCAGTATTTACCCCTTGTGCCTGGCCATGTGCAGCTTGTTCCTGCAATAGTTGTAATACTCAGGTCCAACCAGATGAATAAATCCTACATGTTATGTTCATAAGAGCTCAGCTGTAGATAAACTTCTTGTGATCTGGAGCAGGAAAACCTCTGTCACAGCTGAGCACTCACTGCTTGCCAGCATGGTGTAGCTGGGAGCATGGCAGGGGTACAAAGGCAGAGTCATTGATCTATGCAGGGATTTGAACTATGGGATGTGAAGCATGGCCTTCCTGAAATTGGTCTCAGAATCTCACTAAGGTTTCCTTGTTTTTCCCAATCTAATCTGAGGCAATCAAGTGACACACCGATACAACCCATATTCCTCTTTAATTTCTAGTCCAAACTATGTCTTTCATTATTTCCTTTCCTTCATGTTGTTTTTCACTTGTTTTATTTAAACATGTTTCTAAACTATTGCAAGAAGAGCAGTTCACTCAGCACGTGCCTAGAAACCAGGAGGTACCAGTTTCACTTCCCTCCTGCTTCTCTGCAACTCTCAGTGACGTGCAGTGAGAAGCAAGAGTGGTGAAACACAACACTTGTCACTTCTGGGTTCCCCCCTGCAGTGACACCCATGCTGCTTTCTCCTACCCTCCTGGCCTCCTGAAGATGCCCACGAGAAGAGCTCTTCCCCTGTGGACACTGGTAGTGCTGCTGCAGCTGGTGGGCTGCCTCCTCAGTCCCTGTTTGGAGGTACGTGATCTCTATACGAGCACAAACTCCTGCTTCTCTGGTGCAACTTCTCCCTCTGCTTGGGACATCTGTGCATCAAGTCTGTTGGGTGTCAGTTGTCTGACGAAAGCCCATCTTCTCTCCAAGGCTGTTACCAAGGCAATTGAAGTATTTGAAGTAAATGCTGGTCTCAAAAACATCTGAGAAGCAGCACCAACAGCATGAAGCATTTCTTCTTGTTGCCTTTCTGTACCTCTGAGGTTACTGCAGTACAGTTAATCTAATAGATTAGGTTTCCCTTGGAAGAGATCCAAGGTGTGTATATAATTTCTGCAAAATACCCTATTTTTGCCTGATTTTGTGCTGTAGAATGGTTTCACCAGTACCCCAAGTACCTGTCACTGCTGTGTGTATAATTTCTGCAAAATACCGTATTTTTGCCTGATTTTGTGCTGTAGAATGGTTTCACCAGTACCCCAAGTACCTGTCACTGGTCAACAGCCTTTTGCAAGCTTTTGCCAACAATTACTACTTACCGAATAACTGTGGTTCAAGCTGCCTGCTTAACTGCAGCATAACAAAGCTGAGAGCTGATCCTGGGTGCATCCCTGTGTGTTTGTTTTGCTGGCTCTCTCAAAGATTGCTGCTGGGTCATCCACAGCCTCAAGGTACGTTATCCTTTAGTTTTGCACTTGCTTCAGTCATCAAGGAATGTAGTGATTCCTGGGGAACAGGATTGGTTCTATTAGGAGTGGGGAAGATGCTTTGGATATATAAGATCATATCCTAAAGCTCAGGGCAGCTCATTTAGAAACGAACTACAAGGTTAGTCACTGTGCTCCTGCTTTCCTGACAGTGTAATTTTCTGGCACTTCATGAAGAGTAGATGCTGACCGAGATTGGATCTGCCACTGTTACAGGTCATCCCTACCAAAGTTTTCAGATGCGTGGGGCAGAACATCTCTGGAGTCCCCTCTGAAGTCCCAAACACCACCCAGAACCTGGATTTCAGTTTCAGCAATCTGAAATCACTGGGGTCAAAGTATTTTGCATCAGTCCCTGAACTGAATCTTCTGGATCTTACAAGGTAATGAGCTCTTTTATGTGGATATTGGTTCCTCTTGCTTCACCTGGGCTGCCATGGTTGCTTATTTTGGGGTCTGTTGATCTTGGCTGGTTTTCCCTTGTGACTTCATCCCTGTGTCTGTCTCTTGCACATCCCCGTGGTCAAAAGATGTGCAACTTTTAGTTCAGTTATTGAGTACACACCCTCTGTGCAGAGCTGGGTCTGTCACTCTGGTCTTGTAGGCTGGGATGTGAGCAGGAGGAGGAAGATATTTTACTTCTCTCCGAAGATGAAGAATGTCAGACTTACTGGTACAACAGCTCTGAAGTGGAACATCTTGGGAGAGCTGTTTTTTTAATCACAGTTTAAAATGAAGGTACATTCATAGAATCATAGAATAGTTGGGGTTGGAAAGGACCTTAAGATCCTGCCATGGGCAGGGACATCTCACACTAGACCATGTCACCCAAAACTCTGCACAACCTGGCCTTGAACACTGCCAAGGATGGAGCATTCACCACTTCCCTGGGCACCCTGTGCTCGTGCCTCAGCACCCTCACAGCAAAGAACTTCTTTACATCTAACCTGAACTTCCCCTGTTTCAGTTTGAAGCCATCACCCCTTGTCCTATTGCTACAGTCTCTGATGAAGAGTCTCTCTCCAGCAGCCTCGTAGGCCCCCTTCAGATACTGGAAAGCTGTTTTCCCTTCTCCTTCCATATGTGGGGAGCAGATGGGGGAGGCTTATTAGTAAATTTTAATTGATGTATCATTTCCATTGACTTGAGGCAACAGTTTCTTTGGGTAAATTGTTTCACTGAAGGATGTCACTCAGTCTCATCATAGTCACAGCTCTGAAGTGGCTGTAACTTACATTTGCTATAAGGCACTGGCTGCATTATGAAATTGATTTTGCTTCGGTTCATTGTGGAATGGATTTGGGTCTGAAATTCTGAAGCTCCCACATGAACCCACCTTTAGGTGGCCACCCTCTTTTTCCTATCTTCCTTTTCTCCTTTAAAGCCAACATGGCTTGGGATTTGTTTCCTCTCAGATATCAGCTGTAAAACTGCTGACAGAGTGGTGAGCTTTGCCACTGCTGCATCATGCTGGTGCCAGTGGGACTGCCCAGATGTGGCTGAAATGACAGTCTGAAGGCTGTGAGGGTGCAAGGTCGAAAGGAGTGCTGTGGCCTACAAGGATGCTGGAGAGGGACTCTTCATCAGGGACTGGAGCGACAGGACAAGGGCTGATGGCTTTAAACTTGCACAGGGGAAGTTCAGGTTAGATACAAGGAAGAAGTTCTTCCCTGTGAGGGTGGTGAGGTGCTGGAAGAGGTTGCCCAGAGTGAATGCTCCATCCCTGGCACTGTTCAAGGCCAGGTTGGGCAAAGCCTTGGGTGACGTGGTCTATGTCCCCCGTGCCTGGGGCAGGGAGTTGGAACCAGATGATCTTAAGGTCCTTTCCAACCCAAACCATTCTATGATTCTATGATCTGGTTGGCTTTGCCGTCAGTGACGCTCATCACAATGTTCCCTTGACCTAAATTCTTCTTTCCTGCTGCCTGCATGAAGTTTTGACCTTCGCCGTGGCTCAAGGTCTCTTGCTTTGCAATCGAACTTCAGATTTTGAGAGGGAGGAGGAGGTGGGGGAGCTCTTCTGCTGTGGAAGGGTTCCGTTTGCACATTAAGGAGCACTGACTCTGCCCAGTACAGCAAAGCCAAACCAATCCCATGGTGAGGCTGAGCCTGAGAACATCTCACCTGCGTTTAATGCTGTAGCGTTAGTGAACATGAAGGGGACAGTGTTTCATTCTCTTTCC